ATAACTGGACCTGGACCTCCAAGATCTTTTAATGGTATTTGATCCTTCTCAGGAATAACTGGACCTGGACCTCCAAGATCTTTTAATGGTATTTGATCCTTCTCAGGAATAACTGGACCTGGACCTCCAAGATCTTTTAATGGTATTTGATCCTTCTCAGGAATAACTGGACCTGGACCTCCAAGATCTTTTAATGGTATTTGATCCTTCTCAGGAATAACTGGACCTGGACCTCCAAGATCTTTTAATGGTATTTGATCCTTCTCAGGAATAACTGGACCTGGACCTCCAAGATCTTTTAATGGTATTTGATCCTTCTCAGGAATAACTGGACCTGGACCTCCGAGATCTTCTAATGGTATTTGATCTTCTTCAGGGATAACTGGACCTGGACCTCCAAGATCCTTTAATGGTATTTGATCCTTCTCAGGAATAACTGGACCTGGACCTCCGAGATCTTCTAATGGTATTTGATCTTCTTCAGGGATAACTGGACCTGGACCTCCAAGATCTTTTAATGGTATTTGATCCTTCTCAGGAATAACTGGACCTGGACCTCCGAGATCTTCTAATGGTATTTGATCTTCTTCAGGGATAACTGGACCTGGACCTCCAAGATCCTTTAATGGTATTTGATCCTTCTCAGGAATAACTGGACCTGGACCTCCGAGATCTTCTAATGGTATTTGATCTTCTTCAGGGATAACTGGACCTGGACCTCCAAGATCTTTTAATGGTATTTGATCCTTCTCAGGAATAACTGGACCTGGACCTCCAAGATCTTCTAATGGTATTTGATCTTCTTCAGGGATAACTGGACCTGGACCTCCAAGATCTTCTAATGGTATTTGGTCTTCTTCAGGGATAACTGGACCTGGACCTCCAAGATCTTCTAATGGTATTTGGTCTTCTTCAGGGATAACTGGACCTGGACCTCCAAAATCTTCTAGTGGTATTTGGTCTTCTTCAGGAGATCTCCCAATATATTTTGATGATATCTCATCACTTCTAGGTTTAACAGAACCTAAGCTATTAGTACCTTGGGCTTGTCTCTCAAACTTCCCTTCATTAGAATTCTGATCAGAGACCTCACTTTCAGAATCAGATGTAAATTCAGATAGATTAGAAAATTCCCCATACCTTGTATCATCTTCTTCATTAAAAGATTGGGTCTCAATATCTAAATAGGTATCAGTTTTAGTTTCACTATATTTGGGAGTCACTGTAGTAGTTGTTGTTAAGTGTTCAGATATTGTTGTATTGGCCAATATCACTTCAGTAGAAGTTGAATTAATACGCATAGTTGGTACAGATCTTGGTAACTTATTAATAATTGGTTTCTCACCTGGCAAAGTCTTCCTGACCTTAACTACAGCTAATAATTCATTACGGAATATTTTCTGCCCAGGCTTCTTATTTCTAATAAATACAGCTTCAAAATCACGGAACATCTGAATGTACACATTTCTGCCAGCTTCAACTATTCTATTAACAGAAACATTTCCTTTGCCAGTAGTGATCGTACTTTTGTAATATTGATCACCTTCAGCCATTATAACAAAGGCTGTTCCTGGAGAATGTAAACCTAACTCTTCAATATTCTGTTGAATAAGTAAACCATCTACTGGTGTCCTTATTTCAATAGTTCTATAAGGTACTTCAGTAAGTGATTGTATAGTTACCTTCTGTATACCCACATTGCTTGCTCTTAAATTAACGGCTACAGAAACTGACAAATAAAGTATAAATAAGAACAAGATATTTAAAAGTAATTTATTAATATACATTTCTTTTCTATGGAATAATTCCAAATTAATTCCCCTTTTTTCAAATAGACTTCGATAATTACTATTGAGCTTACACTTAATTACGTTAGTGAAAGATCTTCACCCGCCGTCCCACTCAGTCGAATTCAGAGATCACGCAAACTAGCGGGTCTCTTATTATATTAGTAGACACCCTAAAAGTTTCTTAAGAGTGGAACCCCATAATATATCACACAAATAAAATAAATTCTAATTATACTAAAGAAGAAAAAAGTTAAGAATTAAATTAAAAATTATACTAGTTAGTGCTAGGTATCAGTAGGTCTATTTGTCCAATATATATTCTCCCATACTGGATTATACTCATCACCATATATATCTGCTGAATTCGCAGTTGATGGATAAATAATATAAATTATTGCAACTATAAGTAGAAATAATAATAAAGAGAAAATAACTATAGATATCTTGTTCTTTTCCCAAAATGATTCACATTCTGTACCTTTACATGCTTTAAGTTGTTGTAAGTCAGGACAAACTATTCCATGTCCACTAGGTTGTGTTATTATACTTCTTGAACGGACCATACTACCATCTCCACATTGAGTATTACACTCTGACCATTTTGACCAAGAACTAACTTCACAATTTATTGGACATATAATATTAAAACAATCTTGTGACTGTGTAAGTTCACTAGGACAAGGTTTACCTCCATTATAAGGTGGACTTTGTATAATACGAGTACGAGTTATTTGACCCTGATTACAAGTTGATGAACAAGAAGACCATTGTGACCAATCAGAAATAACACAATCTGTTGCAATAGGATCACATAATTGCGGTATTAATGGATTAGTACTAACATAACACCAAATAGTAGGTACATTTGAACTATTTGAAATAGGATTTCTACAATAATTATGATTTCCAATACCAGAATATTCAATAGATGCCAAATAATTAAATGCAGGAAAATCTATATCTAACCAATTTACACATTCTTGGCCAGATCGAGTAAATTTTTGGCAACCACGATATAATAGACCATTAGTACCAGCAAGTTCTTCATTACATTTCTTTGGATTATAAATACAGAATTTTGTATCTTTAAGTGGTGTTTTACTTAAATTTATCTCACATGGATTACTATTTAATATTTGCCTTGTTCTTATTTGACTACTACTTTCAGAATTATGACATATAGACCACTCACTCCAATGACTCAAAATACATGAGTTACAAACTACATTAGATAAACATGGTAAATATTGTACATTAGAAGGACAGAGATCATTAAATCCTGCAGGTGGAGTAATTATATTTCTGCTTCTTTGAGTCATATTATTACAACTTAAACAAGTTTCCCAAGAAGACCAATTAGACATTTCACACAAAGTACAATCAGCTTGTGCTGGTGGTACATTTAATGGATAGTATATATCTGGCCAAACATTTTCTTCCACACATGATGTATCCCATTCACTACAATGAGTATAATATACTGAATTATTTACATCAAAAGTAATTAATAAACCACTACCCCCACTTTCCCTACATACATCAAAAGAGCCAGCAAGAGTTATTAAGTTAGGATTCATATGAATATGACGTTCGCTATGACAATATTTAAATCCTAATATAGTTCCACATGAGTTATTACCAAGCATTAGATCAGGATTATATTGGATATATTGTGAATAACATGTTTGTAATATTATTAATATTGTCAAATAACATATTATACTGATCATTACCAAGAGTAATTACTCTTCATTCTAATTAACTTTTCTTTTCCCCTCCCCCCCCCCCTCTTCTTACCTCTTTAATAGTCAATAATTGATCTATGTCATCAGATAGGGAACATTATTACCGAAATAAATTATTAAATGAGCTATTTTAACTGCTTTATTAATAAATTACAAAGAAAAGAGAAATAATAAAATTAAATATGTTATAATTATGTATAATATATTGTAAATCTTTAAATATTATCAATCTACTGATTAATTATTTAATACTATTATCAAATATTTACTTCGTAATGCTTATTCAAGATAATATAATAATAAGAAAATTATATTTTTAAAATAACTAGCTATATTTCTATGTTATCTTTATTTCCTTATTATCTATTAATTTATACAAAGTAATATTAAGAGATTATATTATTAAATAAAATTTTATATAAAGTAAAATTATAAAAATAAATGAGATATTATATAATAATATATAAAAATCAAATATATTAATGTTAAAATAATTTTCTTTTAATAACCTTTGCACTTTTAAAATTACCAGTTATATAATTAATATTATCTATTATTATTATATCTTATAATACTAACCAATTACTTAATAATTAGAAATCACCATATTAAATTTCTTTTTATTGAAATATAATCTAATATAATTTAGTTAATGAAATATTTCAAATAATAAAGATATCTTATATTAAGGATATCATTAATTAAAAGATAATAGTAATTTATTTACCATCTAACTGTATAGTTAATATTAAGAATATTATTAAGTTAATTTAATTATATAATGAATATAAGACTTAATTATCATAAATAATGTAATATTTCAGTTAAATTATAGAATTATAAGATATATTAAAATATCACGCTCTTAATAATAATATCTTGAAGGGAATTGCTTATTGTAAGTACTAAAGATAATAATTTACAATATTTAAGGAATATTTATAGAGAAAAAGGAAAAAAAGATCCTAAACAACTTTTAGGTTTATTATTATTCTATTTAAGTTCAAGTTTGAGTTTATCTTTATTGCAAGACATTATTAATACGTATGCACACTAATTTTTAGCGGGTTTGTAAATAGTATCTAGTCTGGCATTGTCTCTGGATAGCTGCCTATGTCTTTTTAAATATAAGATGTAGTCAATTATCAGTTACGATGTTGTCATATATGGACTATTTTAAATAATAGCAATATTATTATACATTATATATTTGTGCAAATACCAATTTTCTGCAAGTTTGGAGTAAATTAAAAAAAAAAAAAAAAGAGGATTAGACAGCTGCTATTAATATTTTTTGTTTTCCTTTTTTGCAATAATAAAAAAGTAGATAACTGAAAGATGTCAAATCCAATGCCTATGGCAGGCAGCCTATCAGGACTTTCTGTGCCACAACCTAATAGCATGTCACCTACTGTAAATTCAGGTGCAACAGATGCCATTTTGGTTGATATCCTTTGTGAATTTGCAGACTTTTTCGTTGACCTAGCAACAAGTGTTGCAGCAAGGACAGGTAAAATTTGGAAACCAAGGATTCTTATGCAACAGAAGTCAAAGAGGACATTAAGGACTTCTGATGATCCTAATAAACCTAAGAGACCACATACAGCATATACATTATGGTGTGAACATATTCGACAAAAAGTACGTGAGAATGATCCAAATCGTGCCCTACAAATGAAAGATTTAGCAGAAATGTGGAATAATTTGCCAGAACAAGAAAAAGGCCCTTGGGAACGTAAGGCTCAAGAATTCAAACAGAAATATTTAGCAGAAATGGCTGCATATAGGGCATCAGGACCATCTCCTGTAGGACCTTCTCCATCAGCACAACAGCAAATTCAATCTTTTAGTTCTACAAGTATGACTGGATGGTAAATCTATATATAATTTATATACTTCAATAGTTATATTTATTGAAAAATTGGTACTTAGAAGGATTATATAATCTTCAGACTTTCCTTCATTTTTCTTTCTAGCATGTATATTTAAATTGTGGTTATTAATATTTGCAATACTTATTTAAAGATATCACAATTTTAACGATAACTTATTATATAAAATCTAGAATATAAAATATTTTGCTAATATCGCTTATTAATCAATTTGAGATCTAATACAATAAAATAAGGACCCATCATTTTTACAGGTAAATACATCGCTTTTAGACTGGTGTCATTTAAATTTAAGTACCATTTTTGGCGCCCATAGTTATTGACAATCTAATTAAATATTATTACTACTTTTATAGTCTAATTATAATAAAATAGTAATTAATCTGTTAATTATATAACCCCATTAGTATAATTGGTTCTCTTGTTAAATTTATTTTTTTAATTAAAAAAAACATCTACATGTATCTGGGATAATTGAAATTAAACACAACTTCTCAAAAAGTTCATTTTTGGATACATGCATGCAGGACGTATTATATGATGTATCTCAATTCCACTACATTAGTTGCATGTCCCTTAAGTAAGTGATTAGAATTTTGTTATGTATTATATAAATGTCAAAGCAGTATATACAATTCTTTTAATAGTATTCTGTAACTTTATACAGTTAAATGGACAACTATTTCAAGATTTTGTGGTACACGAATGCAAAACTGCTGTAAATAAAGGTAATGATTCAATAAAGGTAGGGGAATTTATTAATAACTTTCTTTTATGAAATATTCTATATATCAATTTATTAATATTAGAAATGTTGCCCCCATATATTATCAATAGCAATTTCTAAGGAAATTTGTTTACTTGCCCCAAAATTATATAATAAAGATATACATGATGTTGAAATATTAGAAAGACAATATAAAGAATGTGACTTAATTTATGCTATAGCCAAAAATGAAACATGGATTGATGATAATTTAATTTATAATTGTGTTAAATTTAGTCTCAATTCAATAGATAAAGGAGAAGATATTAAAGAAAAACTTAATAATACAGAAATACACAAAGATGATAGAAATTTACAATTATCGGGATTTCTAAACAATTTTGGTATTCCAACATTTGCAGCTGGATTATCTACATCATCATCACTACTATCAGAAGGAGATTTTTTTGCTCAACACTTTTCTTCATGTAGCACACTATTATCATTGTATTTTGTACGAACATGTAGTGCAATTTGTGAAGGAAGAGCAGGTATTGGTACTGGTAGAGTAACTGTTCCACAATTATGTCTACCATACTGTCAAAATTTTGCTAAACATGCCTGTATTAGGGGATGTAAACATTTTGGATGTCCATTATCATACAATAGATGTATGGATCACATGTGTTAATATTAGAGCAACTTAATTACTGCTTCATGTAATTTTCTTAAATATGAATTTAGTGAGAAAGAAAAAAAAGTCGATGATTTTGAATTTAACTAGCTAAAAGAGTTTAATTTAAACACCTTTATATTTCAAAAATAGAACTTTTTTTTTAGATAATATTAATATTGAATATAAAATGCTTTTCATGCTAATAATAATATATAATTTAATTTAAACTTTATATAAGTTTTATTATATTAAGTTTTAATAAGTATTAGAATTAATAAATATTTATATTTAAAATATACTTTCAAATGTAAGGTCTTCTTTAATTTATAATATATTATGATATATTTAATAAAAATAGAAATTATTAAGATATATTTTTTTAATGATAAACTTCAATAATATTTAAATAATAAGATATTTTACTTTTTCTTGATTTTAAGATTTCATTAACAACTACAACTACAGACTAATTGCACTATTTGTTAATACTATAAAATAAAATATATGAAAATATGAATAGGATAGTTATTGAATAATTCATATTTAGAATACAAATCTATAATATAATATCACAAAGGGTCTTAAACCTCTAAAATATTAGGTATACATGTACTTTCTTGCAATATTTTAATCTCGAACCCATCTAATGTTATATTTTTTATTTATTCTTTTTTTCCTTTTATATAAAAAATAAATAACTTAAATTTTTTAATTAAAGAATGAATTTATTACTCATAATAACTATTACTGGTTTATTTACAATAAAATCTATTACTCAAAGTATTATTATACCAGATATGGAGAATTATATCTATTAAAAAGTTGTCTAATTATAGAATGAAAATAGAAATAAGTAAATTAAATATCTCAAATATCAATTCATTAGAGTATAAAGATAATCTAGTATCAAATCTATTAGAATAGAGAAATACTTCAGAATTAGATTTATTATAACACAGAACAACTTATATAGAAAATTTATTTAATTATATATGTTTGCTATCAATATACATTTATTAATTATTTATTATAATATTAATTTATTTTAGAAAAATCAAATATAAATGATAAAATCTACAATAGATTTTATTAAAGGTGAATGCAGTAAAGTTTCAGTAGTGTAGGTCTAAATCTTGCACCAGAACTAGTAAGTTAAGAAAAAAAAAAAAAAAAAAGTTTTTTATTATTATACTTTATACTCTAATATGTTATTTATTCTTAAATTTAGAAATGTTGTAGATCAATTACGACTTTTATTGAAACAGAAGCTATATATAATTCAACAAACTTAGTTAATTATGATTTTAGTTTATAAGATCATGTAGAATTATATAATATCCAAAAAAATTACTATAAAGTAGTTGAGGAAATTAGAAAACAAAATATTGAATTGACAGATTTAATAATTGTTGCTTGTACTATGGTATTAGGTTATGAAGTTCTTACATTATCAGTAAGAAATTACAATTTGATATTTCTCTTTTTATTACTTCATTTCATTAACTATTTACTGGAGAAACACTTAGTAATTATATATTTGGTGGTCCTAGTCCATTTTGATTAATTCTAAGTTTATATTTTGTCCGTGCTTGTATAACATGATGTGATAAGCATAGCTTAGTTGGTGTTATACGGGCTTCTATTCCTGTTAATTATATTACACAATGTGAACAATTTACAAAAAGATACTTGTATGAGAGGTTGTGAAGAATATAGGTATTCAGTACCATATTATGAATGTATGAAAATATGTTCCTTTTAAAAAGAAAAAAAAAAAATTAATTAAATTGATATAGGGTATCTAAATTACTTTATTATTAGATAAACTCATTGTAAATTCAGTTAATATTATCATAATTAAAAATTGATAATTTATTCTATTTAGATCTAATTTCTTCAATATTTAAATTACAAATACTAGTTGGTAATAAAGATATAGGAATATCAATTGATGTATCTACAAATGAATCTCCACATATTAATAAAGAATGGACTTGAATAGGAAATTTAAGATACATAATAACTTTCTTTATAAGATTCTTAACAGTAATATGATTACTTAAATATAGTTTTAAATGTTTATAAAATTTTAAATTCAAGTCTGTAGTATTATTAAATAATCCTCTTGAATAATTTCTATTAAATTTAGGATTTCGAATATATACTATTAAAGAAAATATTTTGTTTTTTTTATTAACTAGTTTCTCACTTTTCTTTAATTGATTATCTTTAATATTTATTTGATTTATTTTCTCTAATCTAGAAGTTGGGATCAGAGTACCTTTATCAAGTATAATTGCAGATATCTCGTCACCTTTTTGTACTCCAATATCTGATAATATAATAGAGAGATCTTTATGAATAAGTAAATCTTGTTTTGTTTTTAAATGGCGTAGTTCTAATACATCAAAATTTGTATTTATTTTCTCAATAACAGCCTTTAAAATTTGTAAAAGTCCTTTCAATGTACAATTATTGTCTTCCTGAAATCTAATTATTTCTTTATTATGAAGGTTTGATTTATTAAATGACTTTAAAGAATCTATACTTTCAATATATAATATATAAAAACATTGAGCTTGTAAATTATTATTTGTTGTATAATTTTGTATATATATTTCAGAATTAGATATAGTATTATTATCTAATATTAATTCTTGTTCATTTATTACTTCATTTTTATCTTCATCTAATCGAGGATATTCTAATGATTGAGTAATATCATTATTTATATTATCTGATTCTAATTCTATAATTGGTGTTAATGGTAATTCATTGCCCAAGTTATCTTCATCAATTGATATATTTTCTTCAAGTAATATATTCTCATTAAGTGATAAATCTTCACTAATATTCTTATACATTATTAATATATTATCTCCAGTTTTTATTCCAATACTATTAATTTTAATATATGGAGGTATATCTGATAGAATTAGATGACTTCTTATATGTATAATTTCTATAATTCTATAATTTGAAAAGAATCTTTTAAAAAGATCTTCAATTTTTTTTATAAGTAAATTTACTTTTATATTACTATCAACCTTTAAGGTAATATTTGGATTAACAACAGTATTATAATTATCAGTAAAAAAAGGTTTAAGTGTAATCATAAGAACAATAAATTTATCTTTTCTAAGATATTTATCATATTCTTTTTTATAAGATGCTCCATGAGCTAACTGATATTTTGGAGTTCTAATATTATAATTTTTTATATTATCTACATATTTAAATTGATCTTCTTTTATAAGATTTTCTTTCATTAAATTATTGAATACATTTGTAATATCTACATCATCATCTGAATGTTCTTCAATTGTATTAAATGAAATATATTTATTTGATTTAAATGTATTAGGATTTGTTTTCTTATAAATTGGAATATCTAATCTGTTTACAAGTACATTTAGATTATTAAGATTATCATCCATATAATTAGAACTCGTATCTGATTTATCATATTCTATTGAAGATAAAGTTGGAGAGGTTATACTACTGTAAGAATCTGTATTATATTCTAATTGTAAAGTATCAGATACTGAAGTTTCCCCATTACATATAAAAGATATCCCCACATAATTTATTATAGACTTATGACTTAATATAACAAGTACTCCTATATTAATATATTTCCATAGTATTAAAAAATAATTATCTAACATAATTAAAATAAGAATATTTAAAGAAAAAGAATCCCTTAATATTAAACAATTAATTTCAAAGAGATCTTATCTAATATAAGTAAAGTTATATTAAAAAGATTCCCTTTAGGTAGTATAACAAATCTTATTTTTAGTTTCCTTTGAAGATCACACGCGCGTCGTGCTGCATTGATGTTATTTAGTTTCTAAGATTCTTAGGAAGTAATATCTATTAGAAAAAAAGTTTATAATTCATAAACCCATTTCATATAATATAACAATATATAATAATTTTATTTGAATGATTTAAGATTCAATAATTGATAAAGCAGACAATTCACATATAATGTTAAATAATCTTCTTACACGTTCTATATCCTTTAAAAATATCTTTACTTCAACAACTTTATCTATATCTACATTATCTTCTATCTGAAAATATAAACAGGGGAAACAAGGATCTAATTCACCAGGAGAAGCAATGGCATGAATAATTATAGAAGATATATATATAAAATATACCTTTCCAAAGGAGCTAGGTATTTTTGTATAATCATCACTAAATACTGCATCTTTAAGAAAAATAATACGGCTATCAGTAATTAATATAGACCAATAATCTTCAATATCAATTATATCAATCCCTTTAATATTACATTCCCTTTCTGAATCCTTTATAAGTTCATGTTGATCTAAAAGATCACTTAAAGAAGGAAATTGACTAGAAATCATTTCTTCTCATTTTAATTAAATATATAGGGAAAAAAAAAGAAAATTAATAAGAATATTCTTAAAATAAAACCCCCTTTTTGTCTATACCTATATTTTTTCACCAAAATAATATTGTAGCGCTTAAATTAGATGAGTAGCAACAGCGTGGGAAGTAATCTTTAAAAGTAATTTAGCAAATGTCAGTAAAACTGATAGCCAATAATTTACCAGCACAAGCATTAGCTTCAACTAATTTTGCATATGTTAGCTGGAATGTTTACAAATCATTAATAAATTCATTACCTAATATATCTAATAATGATCAATTACGTGTATCAGTTAAAAATCTAATACTTAATATAGAAGCTGATGAAAGAATATCTGATGGAGAAATTGCACTAAATAGATTACATCGACAAAGTGCAAAGATAGAATTAAGAGAGGTATTAAATATATCTATTGTTACAGAATTTAGCTATAATAATAATGCAAATAAGTTAGCAGGAAATATTGTTTTAGAGGTTGATATGTTTGTTGAGTGTAGTAAACCATTAATATTAAAAGAAATTGACTTTATTCCTAGATTAATTGAACAATTAAATGGTCAAGTACTTGCTACCCAACAATTAATACCATTTTATCATAAAGATACAGATTTATTATTTTTATTAACAGTAAAGAAGATTATTCCATTATCAAGATTATTACAAAAATGTGATAAAGATGATAAATTTGATTTTTCTGAATATGGATTAGTAGGGAATTCAACTAATTTTGAATTAACTAGTTCATCATCAGGGAAAGTTAGATTTTCTAATGATAATAAGATGTCTCCATTAATATTTCATCATAATTTTAATTTCAATGATATAGGAATAGGTGGTTTAAATGAAGAGTTTGCTACTATATTTAGAAGAGCCTTTGCTAGTAGGGTTATTCCTCCTATGATTTTGAATGAATTAGGAATACATCATGTAAAGGGTATGTTATTATATGGTCCTCCAGGAACTGGTAAAACATTAATTGCAAGACAAATAGCAAAAGTATTGAAAGCAAGAGAACCAAAGATTGTGAATGGACCAGAAATATTGAATAAATATGTTGGTCAAAGTGAAGAAAATATACGAAATCTTTTTTATGAAGCTGAGGAAGAATATAGACAAAAAGGGGATTTTTCTGCACTTCACATTATTATTTTAGATGAAATAGATGCAATATGTAAAAGCCGTGGTACAAGTAATACTGTTGGGTCAGGTGTCAGTGATAGTATTGTTAATCAACTTTTAAGTAAGATTGATGGTGTTAATAGTATTAATAATATTTTACTTATTGGTATGACAAATAGGCTTGATTTAATAGATGAGGCATTATTAAGACCTGGAAGATTTGAGGTTCATATTGAAATTGGATTACCAAATAAAAGTGGTAGACATGAAATATTAGAAATTCATACGAAGCAAATGAGAGAGAATCATCGTTTAGCAGCTGATGTATGTTTATTAGAGTTAGCAGATAAAACTAAGAATTTTTCAGGTGCAGAGATTGAAGGATTAGTTAGAGCTGCTACTTCTTTTGCATTTCAAAGGCATATTGATATGGAAGATATTACTAAGCCCGTAGATACTCAGAATATTCAAATAAATAATGATGATTTTATGGCGGCTTTAAAAGAAGTAAAACCTGCATTTGGTATTAATGAAGAAGAATTACTTTCTTTGATGCCACGTGGAATTATTACACTTGGTACAAATTCACAACATGTAATGGAATTATTAGAACGTCTTACAAGTCAAGTAAAAACTGATAAGAATACAAATACACTTTCAATTTTGTTACATGGAGAACGAGGTGCTGGAAAGTCTGCTTTAGCATCATATGTTGCAAGTTTTGCAGAATTTCCATTTACGAAATTGATTACCCCATCACAATTTATTGGTTTAAATGAGCTAAATAAATCAATGATTTTAAGTAAAATATTTGATAATGCTTATAAAAGTGATATTTCATGTATAATTTTAGATGATATTGAACGACTTATAGATTATACTCCTATTGGTCCTAGATTCTCCAATTCTATTTTACAAACTTTAATGGTACTTATTAAACAAACTACTCCAAAAAATAGGAAACTATTTATAATTGCAACTACATCAGAATTTCAGTTTATTGGTACATGTGGTCTGTCAAATATATTTAGTGTGGTTTTAGAGATTCCTTGTGTCCCACCAAATGATGTTCCAAAGGTACTAACTTACTATCAAAATGATAATTTCCCACAATATGAAATTCAGAAAGTATCTCAGTCTCTTCATTCATCTTATCCTATAAAGAAATTAATCTTTGCATTAGATGTAACGGAACACTCTTGTAAAGAAGAGACAATAACTGCTAATAGTTTTCTAGAAAATCTAAATGATATTATTTTCTAAATGTAGTAAGTCATTTAGAAGTTTATAATTTAGTAAGACTTCTTATAACAATTAGATAGCTTATCTAAAGTTAATTTCCTAAATAAATTATTTTAACGATAAGATTTCTGAATACGAGCACGTGCACCTGGACCACCGAATTTCTTTGGTTCACAACGTCTTGGATCAGCAATAACAAGTGAACGATCATAAGATACTAATATGTCACGAATTTCTTGTTTAGTAGCTTCATCAACATATTTTTGAGTGTATGCAACAATGGCTTTTGCTAAAGCTTGACGAATAGCAAAGACTTGTGATGTATATCCACCACCGGTAACACGAACTCTTATATCAACTCCAGAAAACATTTGCTTCCCTAGTAATAATATAGGCTCAAATGCCTTAACTTTTAATTGTTCAGGTTGAATCAAATCAAGTGGTTTACCATTGAAGTGTACCAATCCACGACCCTGTTGGCACAATGCAACTGCAACAGCATTTTTCTTGCGACCAAAAGTCTGAACCATACGATTTCCACTAGACATCCTTATAAATATATTTTATTATATCTTATAAAATTTGTCTTTTTAGCCACTTAGGTAATGCTGAAGGTGCGACTTTTTTCCCTATAAGCTTTGAAGAGACGGCGCCTATTATTTTATTTTGTGTCTCGCAATATTTGGCTAATATGTCAATAAGAGACAATACGGCAATGCTATTTATATTATTTATCATTTATATTAATCTATTACTCGATACTATTGTATTGACTACTAAAGTGTATTTGTGCATATCAAAGTATTCGTCATAGCTGCTAATACTTTAAAGAGAAGAATCCAAGGAAATACAAAGGTAAAAGGTGGTTAGTTTTTGACACTTTTTGGCGATAATATTTAGGAGTCGATATGCGTCACAATAATGTTATTCCAAATGTACACTTCCATAAGAACTATAAACCTTGGATAAAGACATGGTATAATCAAGCAGGAAGAAAGAAAAGCCGTAGGATCTCTCGTCAGAAATTGATTGCCAAGTCTGGACTAAGACCAACTGATCTATTGCGTCCAATTGTTCATTCTCCAACTCAACGTTACAATATGAAGGTTAGATTGGGACGTGGATTCACTTTGGAAGAACTTTCAGCTTGTGGACTTAATAAACAGGCAGCAAAAAGTATAGGCATTGCTGTAGATCATCGTAGGACTAATTTATCGGAAGAGAGTTTAAAAACTAATGTTGCTAGATTAAAGAAGTATATGGATAGTATTGTAATGTTCCCAAGAAGTGGCAAGAAACCAAAGAAAGGTTTTGCAGGGATCCCAGATGACTACACAAAAAAAGGATCTGATAACTTTAAGAGTGTAAAGGTTGAAGAAGTATTTCCTTTAAAATCAAATTCTCGTAAACAAAAGGTAAGTAAAACATATTTAAGTGTGAATATTTAGGAATTTAGCTATTCAAATAATAGCAAACTGAGGGTGAATTGAATTATATAACTTCAATGTATTATACATTTATGACTATTTATATTTCTTAATTATTTTAGGCTCACACTATTACTGTTGAAGAGAGGAGATTTGCATCTTATGTAACATTACGTAAAGAACTACTTAAATCTAAGAATATTGGCAAGAAGAATAAACAAAAAGCATAATGATCTATTTAGATTCTTTCAATAATAGTAGTAAATAAATTTAAACTATTTACCTAATATGTCATTCTTGAATATTTAGCTGAATAATACTTTAATTGCGATTAGAACTTTAGCTAAAAATATAAAGTCTATTAAGTCTTTGTAATTAGTATTTTGGATAATATCTTGCAATATTTGAGTTATAATGTGTTTTGAATCATTTCTTTATATATACTTTAAGATATTTTATTATAATAAGAAGTCGGATAACAAAGTTTAAGTAGAAACTATTGCTATTAGGTACTGAAGGGGTTAATTTTTAATAAAATGTATTACCTAGTGATCTAGTAATATATAAGATCAGAGTATTCGTTATATCCAAAAAAGGAAATAAGTATAAATTTTATATTAATATAGATGATTAAGATGAAGTAACTTGGAGAAGTTATTTTCAACTACTACAAGTCCAAACTAGTTCTGATAATTTCTCAAAGTTTTAATTACTATTGTATTTTTATTAAAACTATGAGTTCCAAGATCTTTTATATACATTGAAAACTAATGTATTGGTATTCTGATTGTACTTATATCTTTTAATTAGAATTATATTATTATATAAACATTAGAATTCACTAATTTTAGCCTATTTATAGAGTTAATAAAACCCATTACAGAATATATCTACCAAAATTTATCAATATAAAGTATCTAAGAAAGTTACTAATTAGTTTATTAAAAACTATACATAGAGCAGATTTAGATACTAAAAATTTGTCACCCAAATTGGTTGTATAAATGTCCAATAATAAAAAGTAATTATAATTGGTTCACAAATAATTATAAAAACGATTTATAAGTAAAAAACATTTATGCCCTTTTTAAAAGCGTATAAAGTAATCAATAATACATATTTGACAGTAAATAGCTACTTCAAAAGCTATAAAAACTTTAAAATGGAACTTTATTTAATTCATCAAAAGTAAATTTATCACTTTATTATAAAGATAAATTAGATATCATGCTTGATGGTTGCTTTAACATATTTAAATTAAATGATATTTTTTGAAGAAGAATTGATTTTGCTAAAATCATATTTTCTATATGGGATTCACTTAAGTGACTATTTATAACTTCTGTATAATAATTTTTAAAATTTAGATTACCAATAAGATTTTTCAAAATATCTATAACTATTTGTTTAAATTGCTTAAATTTTAGTCCAATCTTACATATACCACTTATGATAATGGATATTAAATATAAACACTCAGTTGCATATTTAGATTTGTCAAATACTACTTCTCTATTCCCTTCATCTGGGTAAATATTATACTCTTTAATCATATCACCAATATCACTAGTAGAATCAGAACTCAAATTTTCAAAGTAGTTCGATTCATAAGATAAAACAGAATCAAATGATGAATCTGATGAAAAGTAATCTGAGTTTTCAGAAAACTTCATGCCATCATAGAAAGTAGCATCTATAGTCGTAAGTTCATATTCTTTTTTAGAAGTTTCTATTGGTGAGGATTTTTGACCAAAATCAGGTTTATAAAATAAGGTTTCACAGATTGTTGCATTTTCTAAGTATATGTTTACATATAAATTGGCAAGTACTTTAAAGTTCGATAATACATATTCAATTTTGCCTCTGAGACAATCTATCATATGAATATCGGATACCTCTAATAAAATTTCTGGTAGAGTCCAACAAAGTGATACAATAAGTTCAGATGATACATGGTTAACATTAGATTGTAGATATTGACATATTTTTTCTAATAAAACATCTTCAAACAATAGTTTAGGGCATTTATGCATAGTACTAGTAATGAATTTTGCAATTTTACGTTGGACATTTTGAACATGATATGAACCACTGGGGTATACAAAAAAATATATATCTAATAGTTCTGTTATTGTAGATGCTAAATTGTGTATTATATTTAAGTCTATATATTCTTTATCAATAAATTTATTTTCTAGTTTTATTAGTAAGCTTCCAAACATTACATCGAGATACTTCTCTATAGTATCAAAAACTAGTTTTGTATATAATTTTTCATTAGTATTAGCCCTCCAAAGAGAGTTAATGATAAATCTCAATGATAGATCCATAAACATGCGTTTTTCAGTTTCTATACTACATGAAGAGTTCCTCATTGGATTTATAATAAATTTTATATCATTCAATATGTTCTCACTAATTTCCATATTTTCAGATGATACTCCTAATGCTGAATTAATGATACTTATAATTTCTGGTGATTTTTGAACATTAACTTGGGGAAATAAACTTAATAATGGCATATAAAGCATTCTCATTAAAACTATTTTCCAAGTTGAAATCCATGTTAATTCATTCTTTAAGTTGCAAATATTTAGAGAATGAAAGAGTAAATTAATGATATTATCCGATATATGGTTAGGATGAAGTATAGCAAGCTTTAGAAAAAGACCAGAATACTTAATTATAAAAGCCTGAATATTTATTTTAACTAGTGAATCTGATATTACAGAACTCTGAAGCCAATAAGCAAATATTAATACTACATAACTATCTGATGTATTAGGATCAATATAATCCGTAATAAGGGTTCCCCACCAATCTTCTATTTCAGCAGAGGTAGGAGAATCATACTTCATTAAAAATTTAAATGTTTCCATATATAAGTTATTTATACTTTTTGTCATGTGTAATCTGTCATGCAGCTTTCTTACAAAAGGAGTTAATCTTTTAATACATAATGGGGATATCTCACATAATGAATCAATTATAAGCATGACTTCATATGGGATTGTTTCTAATAATGAATTTTTAAAATATTGCTGATGAAATGCATTTAGTTGGAGATGCTTATAGTCCGGCATTTCTGATATCATGCGTTCTAATTGCATAAAAACACGTACTGTATATATAATTATTGCTTCCCTAAGTACTTCAGATATGGAATCTTCATTATTAATCTCTTCATCAATATTGCATAGTCCTAGATAATTTTTTTTTAGCCACATATGCAAACCTGAAATAATATGTATATGCATAAAATGTTGAGGACAGTAATAATTAGCAGTGTTTGCAAGTGTATAGATGTCTGTTGAATTAGAACCATCAATCTCATAAATAAGTATCTTATTATCTGTTGTAGGATAAAAAGGTTTGAGTCCAACAAGCCATAATGCTATTGTATATTCAATTTTTAGTATTATTTCTTTCCGTTCTATAAAAATATTGTTAAATTCTGGTTGATCTAAGTCATTACTATCAATTGGTCTTTTATAGGTTATTAATCTTAAAATAGCTACAAAAGACATCCTCTTTAGTGCTAAAGAATTTAGAAGATTATTTGCTTTTTTTAAATAGCAAATTTCGGAATTATTTGTGAAATCTGTCTTTTCTCTCAATAGATTCAGTTTTGAAAAAATTGCAGATTTCTCATTTTTCGTTCTCGTGACTAGTTTAGCCGAGGTGCAACTAAAAAAAAGTGAGAGAGTAATTAAATTATTTGAAATATAATCTATCTTGCAATTTAACAATGATTCATCCAGTTCTTCAAGTTCTAGAATACTTTTTTTATTACCTTTATATCCATTGATGAACCAAGAGATAATCTGTTCAGAATTTTTCATCAGTAATTGTAATGGTGATCGTTCAACAAATAATTCAAGGACTAATGGGAGATATTGTTTGTTATAATTACTTATTATTCCATTATATGTCTCTAGGAAAAATGATGGCAAGCAATCTGAGCACATTTGACGAAATAGTGAGATAATAGTAACGAATAACTGTGGATTTAGCAAGTCACAATGCTCAGAAGCTGTTACTAAAGCAAATAATTCTTGAATAACTCGTCTAGTAGCATAACTTAAAGGGTTATTTTTATCATGTTGTTGAATCTTTGTACTTTTATCAATAAGTCTTAATGAAGAGAATGTATCGTTTGATGTACATATATGCTGCAGTAAAATTCTACCTGTCTCCAAAATTACGGAATCAAAATCATCAGTATATCTTGTTTGATGGTGTAACTCATTTCTGAAATGTTGTAATAAATTTAGAAGCTCTGATATTTTCATTATCCTCTTACATCTATTATATTAGGACAAATAATAAAATACAACAGTAAGTTTATTTCAACATGCTGCAGACAATAATGACGTGATTTACCGCAATTATTATGGTAAGGTGTAATCAAGAGAAAGAAACTAACAAGATGTTTTTTTTTGTTGAACTTTGGAAAAACATATCTTTAAGTCCAAATCAATTGGGACCTCGATATGATGAACATATTGATGATATACTACGTAGTCAGGTATGTTTCGAAGAACTATTGCAATTCTAATTGAATCTTACTATCTGCGATCAGGTTGAAGGTCAATGGATCACATCTTTTGGTTATGTAGTCTGTGTTGTTAGAATACTTTTACGCCAACCAGGTAGAATTCAAGATGGGACAGGTTTAATTATTGTTCCAATAAAATATCAGGCAATTGTATATCGTCCAATGAAGGGTGAGGTTATAGATGGTACTGTTGAGAGTGTAAATGAACTTGGAATAATCGTAAATTGTGGACCTTTAAAGAGAGTTTTTGTTAGTCAATCTGCCTTACCAGAAAATATTTCTTATTCTAGTGGAGTTGATGGCTCTACTGCCCGGGCCTATTTAGACTCAAAGTCTCAACTACAAATTAAACAAAATACGGAAGTTCGTGTAAGATTACGTGGAGTAAATCATGAAACACTTTCAGCAGTTGCAGAAATGAATAGTGATTATCTTGGTCCAGTGGAAGATTCATAAAAGGTATATATTAACAATAAACAATCTACAGTAAAATAATTATATAACTTACACCTATTGATAATAAAAATATCTTCACCATCCTAAATATAATACGAATTATTAATAGTATCATATTTAAAATAAAGAAGAATCAATTACATACTATATGACAACATAGGGTTTGCATATTTCATTGCAGGTACAGGTGGATGAGGAGCAGCACTGAATTGAACAAAATTAGGTTTTAAGTCATGTTCATGTATCTTAACAAGTGCTCCTTTATTTCCCATAGAGTCACAGTAGTTTGGTGCGGAAAAAACTGTAATACAATTTCCATCATGATCTACACTATATCCTTCCTGCTTCACTTCATGACTACGAATAATATAATCAAGATTATTATCTTGTAAAAATTTCTGAGTTATATCTGGTCCAAAATTACATCCCACACCTCTTGGAGATGGAGAACGTCCATTTCTATCATGTGGATCAGACCACAAGAGTGAAGACATAATACCAGAATCACCAGGTTCACATTTTGTGTAAAGTTGTTCTATATCTTTTAATTTAACATTATCTTCTGTACAAAGACCTCCATGTACAATAAATACCTTATTATTTATTATGTGAACTAAAGGTAAAAAACAAAAAGCTTCACTTATTAGATCATAAAGTGTTGAATCATATTTAGCTAATATTTCACCTTCAAAACCATATAATTTATTCAAATTCCTAGTTTCATGATTGCCTCTTGCTAAGTGAACATGGTAAGGGAACATAATTTTTAATGTAAAAAGGACTAAAATGACCTCAACTGAAAATGATCCACGATCAACAAAGTCACCATTGAAAATATATCCATTTGATTCTGAAGGTAAACCATTTATATCAAAAATATTTAATAAATCATAAAACTGTCCATGAATATCACCACACACAGTAATATGCTCCTTCTTTCCTAAATTAATATGAACTAGTGGTTTGGGAGCTGTTTCTTTCAAAACTTTTATTACATCTAATACAATAGCATAAGCATATTTTATATGGAGTCTATTTCCTGGGATCTTAATATAGTCAATTAATTCATTTAAAAAAGAGCCATTATCTAAGGTTATATTTGATATAGTAGCTTGACATGTAGATTTGTTTTCTTTCATAGACAGATTTTCGAATTTTGGGTGTGTAGTATCTTCGGTGTAAGATAAATTAGACTCCTTTATTTGGTTATCTGACTGTTGTATATACCTTGGACCATCATAATCATTAGGGACAGCAAATCGCTGTGAATCTAGCGTTATAGTTTCATACAGCATTTTAGAGCGATCTGTTGAAATAGCATTTAAGAATTTTTCTTGTTTTATTAATTTAGTACACATCATAGCTTTATCATAAGCTTCCTTATCATTTTCAGTCAAGCTCAATACAGTTAGGAAATCCTTTTTAGCTAATGAATAGCGAAATAAGTTAAGGTATGCAACACCTCTACGATAATAAGCCTTCGAATATGTTGGACATAAGTCAATACTTGCTTCAGCATCAATAATAGCTGATCCATAATTTTCAAGACGAATATTACATAAAGCACGATTTGAATAATATACATGTAAATTTTCATTAGAGGCATTAGTAGCTGAAATTGAAGCATTAATTGCCATTGAATAGTATTCAACAGCCTCCAAATAGTTACCTTCTTGAAAGGAGGCATTACCTTTACCTTTATATATCTCAGGAAGTATTTCACTTGATAAGGTCTCCTTTTTATCTTCCATATTTACAATAACTTGTGTCTCCTTTTTTAACAAAAAATCCGTTTTCCTTTTTAATTTATTTTGCGTCACTACTGGACAAGTTGTTACTCCTTAATAAATTCATAATATACCGCCAATAAATGTGGCGGCTATATATAAGAGCTTTGTAAATTTAGTATATTTTAATATTTTGGTCCTATAATTTTTAAATAATGCAAGTTTTATCACTGAATTTTTGGGGAGTTGTATATTTGAAATAGATAAATCTGGACAGGTTAAGAAGAAATATTTACTTTAAGTATTGCATACAAAAAATAATAAGTAATTGATGTGTCTCACTTTATTTATAGTTCTATTCACTTCTTTTTAGGATTTATTGATTTTATAATATTTCACTATTACTAATTGTAACTCTGAATTGCTGAAAAATCTGAGGTATATATGGCGGTATGTTTCCATAAAACAATCTCATTTGTATAACTAGCAGTGTTTTAAAATGAGTAAATTGAAGAGGTCAAATCCCTCAAGTAGCTCAAAGGCAGCTTCATTACTTGAAAATTGCGGACATAATACTTCTAGTGAAGTATCTACAGCATTATGGAATGTATTTGAAGAATTTTCCAATACTTATAACTCAGGAATACCAACTAATAGTGAAAAAATGGAGTTAAATGGACTAGATCCTGTCTTAATTCCTATTTTTAGGAATATAACAAAGAAAGATACTGAAACTAGAATTAGGGGGTTGAAAACTTTATTTGAAAAAATGAATTTATACAGAAATGCAAGTAAAGATCTAGTACTATCTCCAATTAATTGGAATTCTTGTATATCACATTTTGCTTATGTATATATTAGGCTTGGAGTATATGATTCAAATATTCAGATAAGGAAGCTGGCTAATGAATGTTTGTATTTTTTACATAATATTGTTGGTGGTGAGGCAATAACTAAGTATGCAACACAATTATTTCCTGCTTTATGGATATCTTGTAGTGATACAAGATCAGAAGTATCAAAAGCTGCTGAATTTTGTCTTGAATCATTAATTACTAAAAATAGGGATGCTAGAATATATCATTTAATAAACTATTGTAAAATAAATTTATTCAGTATATATGGAAAGATTTTAGGGTGCAATATTAATAGTCTTAAAGATGAATTAAATATTGACACTTCATCATTAATTGAAGAAGAAGAACTTTATGATCGTCTTATTTCTACTTCAATGGGATCTATTAGGAATACATTAAGAAATCTTATTAAAACAAATATTGAACTTGCAATCAGTATGGCATCTTACTTTGTATTTTCAAATTTTCCCGACATAATTTCAAAGTTAATAGAAGATTCTGATTTATTATTCATAAATAAGTATATAAAAAGTGGGATATTATGGAAATTTATTTCACGATCTTATAGATCATCTGTTAGAGTTAGTTCAATACAGACATTACAACTTTCTCTAAGAATACTGAGGGATAATTTCCCTAATATGGACTTGAGTAAGTATATTTATCCATTAAAAAATACATTTATTAATACAATGAAATGTCTTGATGATTATAAAGATATATCTGTTCAATCAGTCTCATTCGAATTTACTGTTGTATATTTTCAAGTATTTCCTTCTATTTGGAACCAGTCTACAATTGAAGAGCCACTAATTACTTTCTACAAGGTCTTATTTACTTGTCTTAAAAAGCCAAATTTACTATGTTGTGATTTATTATATAGTAACTTACCTTTTATTTTAAAATATATCCCAATTGAGATTTTACTAGAACAAGCTAATAGTAAGCTGTCCTCAGATAAGCAGATTTATATTCACCTTGACAATTCGACTTTTTCTACGAATGATATAACTCCAGGTAATACTTTATCATTATGTAGTTTAATTACATCCAATACATATTTAAATATTCCAATATTATGTTCATTACCATTACTAATTTTATCAGCTATTTTACAGGACTCTAATACTACCGAACAATATAGAAGAAATATGGTACTAGAAAACTGGTTTTTTACGATAGGTATTCCAAACAAAACCCTATTTTTAAGCTCGGTTAAATCATATTATGAAATTTTAATTCTTTTAGTATCGGAAATAACCAATTACAGAGGAGATACAAACTATGATAGTTTAATTGAAAGTTTATATAAATACTACTCAAATATAATGTGGTCCCCTTTAACTCTTTCTCTTACATCATCAATAGATAATATAAAAGGTGATTTAGATCAAAAGACTTATTACAGATATCAACTTCAATTTTCCAGTACTTTAGAAGCATCAAAACCGTTGCATAAAATAGCAATTGAAGAATGTTATAAGCATACATTATTGGATGCACTAGAGAATCTTTCATACTGTTTGCAACAATATTGGAAAGGGATATTTGATAGTTTTGAAAGTTCATTAACTGAAAAATTTTGTAATAAAGATATGAGTCTAAATAAACTTGAGATTACTCACTTATTTCCATATTTTGTAGCTACTTACTTAGAAGTATGTCCCCAATTCATTAGTTATATTTTTGACTGGTGGAATTTATTATTTAGCAAAGTATTTAATATTTTAAGAAATAGAAATGAAGCATTAAACTTAAATAGATGCTTGAAATTTATTAAAGAGTTTGCCTTAAAACTTTTAATCCCCTCTCTATTAAATAGTAAATGCTCATTTTCATCTTCTATATTTATTCAGCAATTTAAAGAATTAATAAATTTATTTAGTGAAGGTGACTTAGATATTGTAATTATCTCGAATATTTTACAATCAATAATCTCACCACTTTTGATTATAGATAATGAGAATTTCCCAAGAAAGATATTTTTCAGAAACTTGATTGAATCTATACAAGTATTACCACAAGTTTATACTTTCTTACTCTGGTCAGTAATTTATGGTTTTCTAACTGAATATTTAGATGTAACTGAAATACATAGTTATTGGAATTCAACTTCAGTATCATTTCCAATTAATAATAATGATTCTATAGGTGATATTATTGATTGGATGAATAGTACTAGGAGTGTTATTTATAGAATCAACTCTTGTAATAAAGTAGAGAAAACTTCAGACAAGGACTCCAAACGAACTATTGAAATAATTTACATAAATATTTTAAAGTTATTAGAGTGTTTATGCCAAACACACTTTATTAAAAATAGAGTATTTCAAATTACACTTGAAAAACTTGGGTTAAATGAATTTTTGGAAGTTTCAAATTGCCTCGCACTGGAGTTACCACATCCCACCTATACTGTTAGTCTGGGAGAGCTACCCAGCTATATAAAAAGTGTATCTGAAGTTTACAAGACAGCATGCAAATTAATAGCTATATATATTGAGCTGAGTAATGAATACATTGAAGATATTTTGGATTATATTGTAACTTTGTTTATGTATTATATTCCAGAGATTTTATACAAATATGATGGAACTAAAAATGATTTATATGAGCTTCTGGATAAAGTATTACTAATTATTTTTAAAAGATACCCTGAAATTCATATGAAACTTATTTTAGACTTGCGAGGATTTTTTTTATATATTACTTGTGGCATATTAACTACAGAATATTCAAATTCATACTGCAAATTGGAACAAGAATCCTTAATATTAGATAATCCTAGAGATAAATTAACTTTGAGATGGAATGGGCCAATAAATAAATATTTATATTCTGAATATAGCAACATTAATTCTATGATATATAGAATTGCTGTAATTATGCATAGGGAAATTAATTTGCAGTTACCTAATAAAACAAATTTTATTTTTGATTTAAAAGAAATTGTAAAACAGTTTGGTCTTGAAAAATTTTATGATAGTACTGAAATAAGGTATAATATATTGGGTACTGAATCAATTTTCTTAAATAAGTTTATCCGTATTTACTTAGATCTCTGTGAATGGACTGGTGATGATATAGAAAATTCACTAAGTGAACATTCAGAACTGGATTGCAACTTTTTCCATAGATTTTGTTGGCAGATTTTGGTTCAGATAATATCTTCTCAATGGTGTCTTAAACAATTTAATATATTAAAAAAATTATATAAATACTCAAATGAGTCAAGTAAAAGTTCTAATTATTCCCTAATACCTTTTTCTGAAGGTTCAGGAAACAATTTATTTAATCTTTTTGATCCAAATGTGAAAACTTACCAAGAAGATTTTTTAAATTGCAATTTTACATCTTCCTTGTACAAATATATATCCAATAATGATGTAAAGTATTTGTATAATTTAAAGTTCTGTTTACAATCAGTCCTTTCTGCATATTCTCTGAATAATGATCAAAATTGCAGTTATCAGAAATATGGAATAATAAACTTACTTTTAAACATTATATTTTATAATAATTCAACTCAAATAAAGGGGAATATGTTAGATGAAATTTTATCTTTAATTACTGAATTATTAAATGATAAGAATACACCTAACATAGCAATACTACTTGAATGTACTTTAAATATATGTGAATCGAATACAAATTTATCATCTAATTTTCATGATATCATTCATATTTTAGATAAATTGCAAGTTGATAGCTGGCAGACTATTAGACAGATAATTGCAAACTCAGAAGTGACGGAGCATGAGGATATGAATGATTTACATAGATTTAATGACTTGATTTTATGCAAAAACTCCTTATTTTGCAGAAAATTAATAGATAATGAATTAATTGGAGTTGACTTACTATATACTTCAATTGAGTTTTTGGAGTACTTTTTGAGTATACTTGATACCAGTTTTACTTTAGAAGCATTGCATGATACTGAATACTTAAATATAAATATGATTACTACCTTGTGTGAATCTATTGCTTCTATTTTACTCAATATTTCGAATTTTATTGATAGAAGAGCAACGAATATATTTGATATATGGAGTATTAATGAAGGAGAGAAGGAAAAACTAGTGAATAGTATGTATAACATGATTCTCCCAGGTGAAAAATATGATCTACTCCGGAACTTCATAAACCTAGAAGTTATTTTTCATCGTATAATTGGTAATTTCCTAGAATTTGTTACAAATTCTTTGGAGTTAGAAATTGATAATATACAAAATTACTTTAAAAGATGCGAGTTTATAACTTATATAATTCGATTATTACAAAGGACTTTGTGCAACGTATTATATCTATCAAAAAGTATTAAAGTATTATGGACGTTTAATATTTCAATAGGAGAAACTGATCAATCAGCTGTTCTTTGTGATATAACAATACCAATTGAAACAAATATAATTTTAATGATGGATAGAATCCTTGGAGTATCAGTGGCTAATCTTTTTCGGAATTTTTCAAAGAGTTTACCAATAATAGATTTAATACCACTTTACATTGTGGAATTTGTTCCAATTACTGAAAATTTAGAAATATCTGCAAAGTCTTGGCTTTATTCACTAAATTCACTGGAAATATGTACTAGAAAAGATTGTGCAATGGAAATATCTAAATTATTTACAACTTTTATCTTAGCACTTCATATCCCTGTTATACAATTACTTAAAGATTACCCATGGTTTAACTCACAATATGAATATGATGATACTTCACAGGCTATACAAAGTCTATCAAATATGGAGCAAAGCATTTCGAAATTTTCTATAATCAGTGATATCCCAGATAGTCAAAAGGTAAATTTTAAAGATGAATTACTAATGATCTTAGAGGATAAACAATATTTGCATATAGACAATAAAACTAAATCTCAGAACTTTGACAATAATAATAATAATAATTTTTTAGAATTCAAACAAATTCAAGAGGGATTCCGTGTTATAGTTTCTCATTGGAGAAGACTTGTTGGGCCAACTTTAGCACAGCAAATACTTGAGACATATTTAACATTGGCATCAATAGCATTATTTAATAGTCAAGATGAAGATCTTGTAACTACTAATAAAGTTGGTAGTAATTTTGATAGTATAAGGTGGGAATCAATAAAAGTAGATGTGTTGCAACGACTCGGTTGTTGGTTATTTATCATCCCTGGATTAATTCCAGATTCCTTTGTGTATAAAACAGAAGAAAGTAATGAAAATAATAAATCTAAGAGAAGTCTTATTTCCTATATTGAAGTGCTACTAAACATTAGCCCAACAAAGGTAGGTGATGCAGTACTCGCTTCAGAAATAGATATTACTGACAATTCTTATAAAGATCACTTTTTACCTTCACCTATTAACCTAGAGGATATACAAATTTCAAATATATTAGTTACTCCATTCTGCACAAATTTCACAGAAGATGAGTTTTTGGGAATACTGGGATCAACTTGTCCAAACTATAGATTCCTATTATTGTCAAAAAATTATAATATATTACATCGAATTATTCGTATGTCTTTGATTGAAGTACTTATAGAACTTTCATATATGACTATTATGCTCATAGAGCACTGGAGTGATATGGGAGATGAAGAGTTAAACTTGCTTAATAAAAATAAAAAATCAGAATTTACAAGAACTTATAGTAAAAACACAAATTGGATTGAAACTTTCAAACATGCTTCACTTTCTGAGAGAAGGTTATTATTAGAGAACCAGCTTGATGATCTTGTCAAACCTCTAGACTTAGATTCTGTAAAATATAAGGACTCAATTGGATATATCTGGAATCCAGCAAACTCAACATTAGCTTGGTTATTAGCAGTCAGAATATTGTTTTCATTATTAATTCGTTTTCCTAGTATTATTAGGAATTTGTGGCAATATAGCAATAGTGAAAAGGCACAGAAATGTCTGCAAAATATGACCAGACATTATTTCTCCCCATCATTGATCAAAAGAGAAATAGAAATGATGCCTGAAATTGTTACAAGTGTAACCAATGATTGTAGTGAAGAAACGAGTATAAAGTATATGTGCAATGAATCTTCCAGGATACTTAAGATAAACTATGAAAATAAGGAGGTCGAAGTATCTCTTATTATTTCCTTCTCTCAGTTACACCCACTTATAATTCCTAAGGCCAGCATACCTTCTATTCCAGGTATTTCTAAGAAACAAATTTCTCATTGGCTGGTACCTGTTATAAGGACTATAAAACATGGTACATTGGGTTCAGCAATTTCAATATGGGCACAAAATGTACACCTTCACTTTAGAGGTATGGATGAGTGCCCAATTTGTTATTCAATATTGCATACACAATATAAGACATTACCCAGGAAAAGTTGTCAAACATGTAAACATATCTTCCACAGTGAATGCATTTACAAGTGGTTTAGATTATCTCACAAAACAACATGTCCATTGTGTGTAAATATAATGCAATAATATAATTACATAAAATTTGGAAATTTCCTTCCATAACTGTTATATTGCTAATACAGCACAATGCGTCATTGTAAATTTCTAAGGGTCAATAGTTCCTAGAAAACTTAGGGCGCTATAAGTATTTGGGAAAGACATGTCTCATGCCGCTCTAATTATACGCTGGAGGGGAGCACTGAGATTTGCCACTAGTACTATACCAGCACATATCAAAGACTAGACGTATATGCTGGTAAGAATAAAAGACACTTAGTGGAACTTATTAGTCTCATTGTTTTGTTTCAGCATTTTAGTTGCAAAAATCAATATTGTTGGCGATCCATTATTTGGGGTTCCCTAAATAGCACGGATAACAAGATATATATTGAAACTACAAAAACAAACTTTGCCTCGAAAACTATTATGTAGAGGTTGAATGAAATTTTAACGAAAATATTCAGTTGTGTGTTACTTATTAATATTATTTGTGGTTCTTCAGCCTTAATCTTAAATTTAAATTCACTAGGCAGTCTTTTATACTGACTCCTTGGTGAATACTTAAGATCCTCATTTCTTTCTTAGTTATAAACTACTTAGATTTTAAGGCTGGATCGGAAAGACGATCTATACCTTAATATTGACTTTTAAAAAGGGATATATTAATAATATTAACTGAAGGTTAGTGTACCAAGAGTATTACTTGATTGGATTTATTTGACTATAGAAGTTAGTGATTTGAAACTTTTATCATTAAGATCTGTAGCCCTAAATAATAAGTTTTATACTGGCACTTTGAATTAAGCTTAGATCCCAACTTTAAAGTAAACATGTGGCACGTTGGAACTGCGTCAGTTACGTCAATTGCAGGAAATAATACTAATAATGACAAGAAGACCAGAGGGAAAGTAAGGAATGGAAGTAATGTTCAAGTAGGTGCCAATACCCAAAGAAGAGGAAGTACGAGATTTTCTAATACACCCAATGCTACTAGTAGCGTAAATAACACTAACTCTAGTATAAATACAGCAAATTACAAACATACAAAGAAAATTCCCATTGATAAATCTAAGTTCCATCCAAGTATATCAAATCTAGCAGGAGCTATAATAGGTGTCTCAGGTGCAAATCAGAAATGGATGGAAAGGGAAAGTGGTGCACAAGTTCAAATATTGGGTACAACACCAAATGATCCTGATGGATTACATATCATGGTTAGATATAATGAACCAAGGGAAGTTGAAGTTGTCGAAGCAATTATTGATGAAATAGGTCGTGCAACATTTGAAGGTGGTGGTGGTTTTATATCTCATATGCTTCCTGCTAGGAAGTTAGCAACAAATCATGGATATATGTCATTACCTACACAGGATCTACAAAACACATTGAAACATGACTCAATAATGAATGTAATACATACACCTTATAACCCAGTGTATTCAATGGGGATGACGAATGTTATAGGTCCTCCAGGAGGATGGCCACAATCTCCTCCTTCAAATCCAGTGGAATTTGAATGGATTATGCACCTTGTAATACATACAGTTTTACAACAAGTAGGGATATCTGCTTCAAGTGGAATCCCAATGATACATCTCCCAATGTTATATGAAAGATATAGTAATTTTAATTTTGAGCATGATGCAATAACCTTCTTCCATAAAGCAATAAGTGACAATGGTTTATTAGGTTTAATTCAGTCAATTCCTCATGTATTTATAGAGGGCCCACATACACGTATTGATACCTCAACAATCCCACAATTACCAGTGTCACTGAAAATTAATCTAGCAAGTGGATTAACACCATTATTGCTTCCAGCTCAATTATTTACTACTTCTTTTCATGAATTCAAATTAGCAGATGAATCATATTGGGCTAGTGGTATTCTACCTCCACACCCGGGTCCTATAAATATTTTTCAACATCAGGTAAACCATCCTGTTGGAATGGCATATACAACTTTAGATCCAAATCAAACATATTATCAGAAATCTATTTTGAGTAGTGATTATCCAATAACTAAAAGAGCTAAGTTGGATAATGGATCGTCTCTTGCACTATCAATGACTACATCTCTACAAACTATTCAGACATCTAGTGAAGTTAAATATGGACAAATAGATATCCCATTAACAAACTTAACTATTGCAGTGCAAGGTATTCACTTCTTATTGCGTCGTTGGATATGGAAGAGACAGCAATCCCATCTACCAGCCAAAAGCCCACTGGACTTCTTACCATTAGAATCATTAGAAGCAGAATTTATTCAATTTTTTGATATTCCATTGGATATAGAATTGTTAGGTTGGACTAATCTCCTACATTTTGTTGAGGCATTTCCAGATATATGGACAGTGGAGAATGTAGGACCCGATGAATTTACTTTAATTCCACTTCCTCATCCAGATTTTATTTCAGCAACAAAGAAATGTAATACAACTCCATCAAATAAAAAGGATTCCTTAACAAGTCAATCGACATCTAAGGGATCTACCACAGTGTCAACCCAATCTAATTCAACAGATTCATGTAGGGTTGCAGAAGAATTAAATGATATAATTGCACAACTGCAAAATTACTTAGATAATATTAAGGATACAAGTGATACAGTAAATTCACCTGAAATATTGGCAATACATGATCTACTTAGTGGTCTTAGAAGTGGTACATATCAATTTGATGATTCTACTAGTTCTGCACTTGTGGAATTACTTTCCATGACTAGCGCCTTAGCTGCACCTACTCAAAGAGACAAACCGAATACAATGAATAACATTAGAACTGGATCTCTTATCACTCCAATTATGAGTGAGGTAAATATTTCTAGCTCTGTCAATCCTATATCTTATAACATGCAAACTTCAAAGAAGATGTTCACAACTCCAATGACGAATAATCCTGTTCCTCACTCAATTATGCCTGTATTGCATACCCCAGCTCTACCATTACCAACATATAATGATGTAGAACTTCCAATGCACATGTATAATCAAAAGATACCACATTCAGTACAATCACGATTTGGAGGAGGTAATACTCCTTTAAATAGTAGTAATTTAGCTGCAACAATGACTTATGGCATGCAAATAGGTAATATTCCGATTAATATACCAGCTTCTACATTAAGAGTAACACCTCACTCCACTAAAGGTGGAAGAGGGAGAGTGGTATGGGATAGAGATAAAGCTAAACATTAACTGCAGAAATTCATTAAATAATACAAAATCATTATATAGCTATAAGTTGGTATTCATTATTTCCAACAGTATATTAAGTATACTGCAATGAATTAGTAAGATCTTACTGTACTTTTTACTACAATCAGCATCTACTTTAAAAGTTTTTAACCATGCTCTGAAAACTGCTGGTAGAGAAGTTTTCATGAGGCAAAATATTGGCTTGTTGAATGAGTTAATTTGATTGATACAAATAACTACTTTAGGGAATTGAGCACAAATTTAAGGGATAAGTGCCAACAAGGAAGTAGTAGTCCCTTACTCAACTAGCCTTGCTATGTGGAGATTTGTTAGAAATGCCTAACTTTAAGCCATTATATGGGTGATTTATATAACTTTTAAATAAAAAATGTATATATTTTCTAATAGCTGAGGCAAGTGTGCATTGCCTACTCAGTCTATATCTAAGTAACTAATAGACTTAAGTAGTAGAAGTCTAGCAGTTTTTTTAGTACCTTTAGAATTCGTAGTTTTTACAAATGTATATTAGTCTAGATCATAGGGATTCCGATAACTTTGATCTCTAGTCTATTTTTGATAATAGAGAATTACATGATTATAATAGATAGGTTATTTATACAGGTCACTTATCACTATTAAGATCTTTATAGTAAGATGTTATTTTAGGTGAATTTAAAGAATGTAATTATTTATATCTGAAGTTATATCTTCGAATATATAACTTATAATTAAATAACTTGCTTTTAGTAATGAAGAATTATTATAAATATATATATATATATATATAATTGTTCTATAATTTAGAAGAGTATATATAAGTGTATCATTTAATAATCAAATATTATCTAAGTTTTTCTAGCAAGAAGTTGGTTTGACCAAAATTTATTTATATTACTTAAATTCTTATTAGAAACCTAAATACTAATTGAATATTCTATTTTTTATATAAATAATCGAAATATCTATAATATAACTTTACTAAAAATAAATATAAAATAATAATAGACTCATAATAAACTTAATAAATACTTAGTTTAAAATGATCTTAATAATTATTATCTATAATTTTTTTTTTTAACTAGTGAATTTATTATATACTTTAAATATATATAAATTCCTAATTAGATTATACAAAAGTGATTTTGAATAAATAATTCTACTTTGATATTATCTCTGATAATATATTGTATCAAACTGGAAATTATGTAGTATAAATAACAGAGTAAAAATATCTTTAAATATATTATAAAGTAAAAACTTTTTTTTTTATTTAATTTATACACTTAATTTATTAATTTCAATACATTTTTGAGTATCTCTTATATAATTAATAAGACAAAATATTATTAAATCTTAAAATACTGCACATTTTCATTACTATAATCTAGAAAACACGTGTAAGTAAAGTAGATTAAATAAAAATAAAGATATAATTAATAAAAATTTAGGGTAATCCTTTTAATTAATAAATTATATAAAATTAAAGCTATAACCTAAATTATTATAATCATTAATTTCGAATAATATTAAAAATAATTTGATTTTCACTCAAGTGCATGTGTGCACACACTTTGAATTTTGGAATTATTACAGTAATAGCTACTTATTTTTACTTTTAGCTTGATAAAATCTTAAATTACAAGTTTTAATAGTTAGTAATGATATAAAATAGTGAATAACTGCCTAAATAAGTCTTAGGCAAAGAGGAAAAGAGATAATTAAAACTGAATTCCACTAAATTGTACTCTATAAAATCAAGAGATGAGAAGATCTAGAATTAAACAAAATATTGAGAGAACATGGAATGACTATGAATCACAGACATCTATTGAAGATGTCTCTGAATGGGCTGAACATATTGAACAAGTTATTGATGATCTACAACGAAATTATAAAATTATTCAAGCTGAAATGGATTATCTAATGGAAAGATCAAGTGTCATTAGTAGACCAAGATATATATCTCCTAAAAGAGTTACGGTTGTAAAAAAATTATCTAATTCAAATTTAGAGAACAGACGTAATTTTGAACAAGAAAATTCATATGATCCTAAAATATTAAATAATTATAAAGAATATAATAATGAAGTTAATTATAGTAAAATTGAAGAAAAACTTGTAGAAAAATTACAAAGATCTTGTGATCAACATCATTTGGAATTTCAAAGAAGTATAACTGAAGTAAAAGTACAACAAGCAATTACTGAATCAACTGTAAAAGATATCGCAGATCAAGTAGATATTTTAGCAAAAGAGTTAAAAGCTTTTAAGGATATGCAAAATGATAAAATTTCTGTTCTACTAGATAAAATAAACTCTCAAACTGAATATAAATTATCACCAGAGTTAGAATCATCTGAAATAGAATATAATTGTGAAAATAAAGTATCAAAGAGTTGTTCTTGTACTACATGTTCTGATTGTGATAAATTAAGTAAATTAGATTCTAAAAATAATAAAAATTGTTTATTATATGGATCTTCATCTATAGAATCAATAGAAGATGATAAAGGGATTAATAGAAGACAAGAAATAGTAACTATATTACATGAAGTTTTGCTTGATCTTTCTTTATTTAAAGAAAATAATATAAGTTCTTTATCAGATATTTCTTTATTAAGAACATTACTTAAAGAATGTATAATGAGTATTACAACAGAAAAAACTCAAATAACTGTAGATAATATTATATCTGATATGGAGAACTTAAAAATTAAACAAGCAGATAATGAAACTATTATAAAAAAATATGATATTTTAGAATCATTAATAAATAATATTAATAAATCAATAGATAAACAAAATAATATGGAATCAAATCATATTATAAACATTTCAAAATTAGAAAACTCAATAGAAAATATAAAAAAAGATATATTTAGAGTACAAGATTCAATTAATAAAATAGAACATGAAACAAATGAAAATATAAATAAAATTGAGGAATCTTTAAAATTACGAATTAATGAATTAGAAGAAAAAACTTTAACAAATCTATCTATAAAAATAGATTCAGTAGAAGAAGGCCTAGTAAATCGTACTGAAATTTTAAAATCAGCAATAAAAGAATTAAAAGATCAATTAGATTTTCAAATTCAACATTTTGAAGAAAAATTTTTAAAAGTTGATTACTGTGAAGAAAATCATAAAGAATTTAATCAGATAAAGGTTATTGTAGAACAAGTTAAAAATATCAAAGAGTCAGTAGATTTTATTAGTGAAGATGTTCTTTTACAAGAATCCAAGCTGAAAAAGCAAGTGCAAAAGTATTATAAAAATCTTCAAGAAATCCAACAAAAATATGAAGATTTTGAACGTAATTCCCAACATAATCATTCAGAGTTGGCATTATCATTGAAGAATTTTAGATCACAAGTCATAAATATTCTGACTTCTATATATGATATTATTAATGAAGATTTCCCTCAGCAACCCTTACAAAATAATATATGGGTACCATCTGATAATAATACAAATATCAATATAATTAAGGATAACCAAATTCAATCATCAGACTCTGATGAGCATTTACATTTTACATCAAATATACCACCAAATGCATATTATTACTCTCTAGTACCATCTATAATTCCTCATTAGATATTTTAAGTAACCTATAAATTATTCTTATTTTTTATATCTTATTCAATTTTCTTCAATATATTAGCACTAATTATTATTATTTTAATATTTTACTCAATAATTTATTACCATTATAAATTCATATATATATATATTATTAATTTAAATATTGAATAAAATTTCATCTCTGTAGAAAATTCTTAAGTAAATTTTGATAATATGTTCATCAAATACTATTAAGAGTAATATTTATCTCTCAAACTTATAATCTATTTTATTTATTTTTTAAATATTATTTATATTGTAAAAATTTAATATTTCCATTTAATAATTTATATATATATATATTTTCTTTTTCCCTTAAATATCTTTATACAATATTAGTTGGTATTGTGAGTAATTTACCAAGTCTTAAAGATTTAATATATGCATATAAAAAATCAGCAAATAATAATATTTGTGTTCCAAGAGCTAACATTACTGTCCATCCTGCTACATTCTTTCCAACTTCAGGTGCTAATTCTCTAAATGAGAATAACCAAAATATAAATGATAAACATTTTGAAGCTGCTAAGGATGCAATATAATGGCTAGTTAATGTTTCAACTTCACCACCAATTTTTGTCATTAAGACTAATTGTGGTAGCATTGCAATTGTTTCTATATATAATGCAAATGTCCAAGCAAAGTCAGCTGGAAAGTAGCTATTTAAATCTGGATGAATTATTGTAGCTAAAATTAATCCAAATATTATAGGTATCCAAATCATAAATTGATCTTGATCATATTTATATTGATATTTATATTTTGTATATCCCCAAAATATTAATAATAATGATAATCCCAATGATATTATATCTGCAGCTTGATATACCCAATCACCAGATCTGTCAACAGGTAAATATCCATTGAAAAATAATGTTGAAGATAATCTAGAAATTAATGCAATGGTATATAATATTTGGGATTTTAATGAAATACCTGAAAGAGTACATTGAGTATTTACTTTAAGTGTTAATAATAAGAATGCAAAACATTGAAATGTCGAGGAAAGTGTTAATATAGCTGAAAAACTTCCATCAGAAAAATATTTGTAACCCACTAATAGTATTAATCCAAATGCTATCCAATATAAATATTCTAGATAATTAGCTCTTCGTAATAAATTATTCTCAGTATCTGTTTTTCCTATCCAATAATTATTAATATTATTTTTTTTACATGAAAGTATATAAGTTGAGTCCTTTTGATTATTGGGTTGATTCATAAATTTTGGTGTATATTCCATTGTAACCATAGTATGCATTTTTTTTTTTTTTTTTGTTACTATCTTTTTATAAAACTGGAACTTTCCAACAGTTATTAATTAATAATTTTATAGAACAAAATCAACTTTACAAACAAATAAAATGGGTATTGTTTACAATTATGAGTAAACAACAAATTTTAGCTCCGCATGGTCACACAATAACGTGACTATTAAAAAAAATGGGCCCTCAACCCGTGCATGTGTCTAGAACAAGTATGGGGACAAAATATTATTATTATAGGGTATAATTTAAATAATTTAATTTTTTTTTTTTTCTTAACAGGATCTAAATTATTAACTTCATAATATTATTAGGAATTATTTAAATTGCTAATAATTTCCTTATAAACAAACCTATCTTATTACATTATTAATAATAGTTTTATATAGTAATATATTAACTTTAATAAACATTCTATTTTAATATATAAAGATTTATTTTAACCTAGAAATATTCTTATAAAAATAATAACAAATCTAATATTTTCCCTTAATTCTTATATATTAGGTAATATTTATCTTTATATCATAATTTCTAATAATTAAATTAAATTTATTTATTATGAATTATTTAAAATAGATTTATTAATTTTTAAATTAAAATTTGTATATCTTTTTCTAATTGTAAAATATTTCATTATTACACAATTAGAATCATAAACTTGTTTTACAAGGGAAAATATTTGTGAAATATTACGTAATAGCATAAGAAAAATAGTATTAATATCTGATAATTCAGGATTACCCAAAAATATATTATTTTGTTTTATTTGAATATTTTCAATAAAATGATCTTTTTTATAATAATCATATTCTTGATCTTGTTTATTAAATAATGTTATTCCATGATTTTTAATTATATATTTTAACCAAATTAAATGTAATTCAATATATATAATATTAATATTACCTGGAGTTGTACAAATTCTTAAAAAATTTAAAAGTGGAAGTAATAAAAAAGGTGCAATAAATTTAATTACAAAATAAATATTTGATATTGGTATTTGTTTATAGGTATTAAATATAATTGAAAAATCATTTAAAGCCAAAGATAATATCATTGCTTTAGAATATTCTTTATTTAATAATGCTAAATTAATATTTTCAAGATTAACTTGTTTAGTTAATATCTGTCTTTTAAAAGAATCTGAAAAATTAAGATGATTTGTTATACCAGAATAACCTGTACCAAAAATATCTAAAGTAAATAGAAATAATCCAATATTTGTTGCTGCAGCCCATTGTTTAGAATCATATGAAAAACATATAGAAAATACAATAAAATCATTTTCTAATTTTGATATTGCACCTTCACCTAAATTTGTTCCTGGTAATTCATTATGTTGTCTTATTCTTTTTAGAGTTAAATTATGTTGATTAATACTATTTATATCATTTATCTTCTTATAATCAAATTTTGTTATATAATCATGATTATATTTTGAATTTAATTCAACAGATATACCATATAAATATTTTGAACTTGTAAGTTCAATACAATTAATTAATGAATAAGTTGTTACATCATATAAACAAACCCTTGGTGAATTACGAGATGATGCAAGTAAATAACGTCCATTACTAGTATAACAAATTGAATTAAAATATTGATTTTTATTAATATCAAAATTTTTTAATAATAAATTTCCTCTTTCATTATCAATTTTATGATTAATACATGATTTATGAATTTTTCTTCTACCTGAATGAATATCTCTAAGTCCTTCAATACTACCTTCTACTAATCCTTTATCAATATCCCAAAATGTTATATTACCAGATAATGTACTAGTTGCCATTTTATTATTACCTCTAGGATCAAATGCTAATGATAATACATTTGTTGTATGAATTAATGATTCACCAACTGCACTTTTTCCTAAACGACCATATATATCCCATATATGTGTTGTACCATCCCAAGATGCAGATGCTAATATTCCTGGATTACTTATAGATGGGGAAAATGCAATATTAACTATTGTTGATGTATGTCCTGATAATATATCTAATATTTTTCCATTTCTTAAATTCCATATATATATACTATATTCACTACCTTGACATCCAGCAACTACAATTTCACCAAGTTTATCAATTGATACACATGAAAATTGAATACCTTTTTTATTAGATACAAATGTTCTAAAATTTCTATATCTAATAATATCAAAAGCACGAACAGAACCATCTAATGATGATGATATAATAGCATTTCCTTGAGGTGTAAATATTATACCAGTAATTGATGCAGTATGTTCAATAAATGTCTGAAAATTATATCCAGTATTAGAATCCCATAATTTTAATTTACCATCTATTCCTCCAGTTGCAATAATATTTTTTGATTGAAAACCAAAAGAATTATTATAAATTTCTCTTTTTTGTGATTTATCATTAATAATACCTGCTGGACCAAATGCTACACAATTTATTCCAAAGTGATGACCTTGTTGTTTAAGTATATATGATTCTGATTGCCATTCCCAAACAATAATTTGTCCATTTTCTTTACTCCCAATTGCTAACCAATCACCTCTTTTATTTAATGTAACAGAATCTATTATTGAATTAGATATACAAAATGTATATAAATTATTTAATTTTTTTATATCATTATTTTTATTTTTATCTATATCTTTATATTCATTTAATTTAATATTCATATTTTCAATATCATTTATATCATAAATACTAA